CCATAACCTGCCTGACTGGAGCAGTTTGTGTGCTGATTTAAGCTATTTTTTAATGGAAAGTGGCTCCTGAGGAAAACGGAACAGCGGCTGTAACTTGACATTACCCTCTTGAATAACTTTTTTTTTTTTTTTTTTTGGAATTATTTGTATATCTTATCCAAAAGCATTTATTGAACAAAAGATGGTACTGCTTGCAAAGTAATCACAGAAACACATTTTTGAAAAGCCATATAGTTTATAATAAACAGATGACTTTTCTGCTGTCTTGTCTTAGAACAGACCCTTGGTCCATTAATACTTTTTTATATACTCAATCTTTTTCTGTCTGCTTGGCATAGAGAAGTAAGTATGACTAAAAAGAGAAATTACTTACGGGTCCCATCTGTCTTGGCAAAGGGGGATATATTTGAAAGCACTTCCATGGTTCTTCCAGTAATCCTTGCTGCTGTTTGATTCTTTGGCTTTTTCCTAAGGAGTAGGATAGGGAGAGTTGTGCTGGTTTCAGCTGAACGCACCTGCTGAGGCTGCATCTTGATCTTCGCAGAGTGATAAGAAATGAAGTCGTATGTCCTACGTGTTGGGGGTAAACTGGGGCTTATAGTGGTAATGTGCGTGGATGTTCCGAGCGTTTCATGTCTGAGTTTTTTGCAAGACAAGATGCCACAGTGCAGAGCAGGGTGGGACCATGTCTGTGCCCATATACGTTCTCCTGACTATAGAAGCAAACATGACCGTGCTAGAGCAAACAGCAGTGTAAATGTAATGTAAATGTACTTACAAGCTTCTCAGGTATCGTGCACACCATTGTAGTCTTCAGCTCCTGCCACAGTGCAGTTATCTGTGATAGAAGCGGAATATTGATGTCCCTTTCTCTCTTCTGCAGTCTCTACTTGTGACAGTAAGAACCGCTCATGTGATTTTACGGTAAGTAGGTTGTTTTATGTGATAGTCACTCCAAGAGGACAGTGCAGAGAGAGTGCTTTTTTATTTATTTAAGAGGTGTATGTAATTACCTCCTTGAATTGCAAGAGATTTGGAGATGGGCAAAGGTTATTAACTTTAGACAAGGTTATTCACTTTAGACAGTGCATTCTTTTTTAAAATACAAACGCTGCAATGGATGGATAGTTTTAGTGGGTGCTAGTAATAACTGTGCCTGAGGCACAGACAAAAATGGGTTGGTGATGCTGTACAGGGCTGATTTAGGGTACTTCATGTCATCACACTGGGCTTCTATTAATCTCTAGAACTTCAGAAAAAAAATGGATGTACATGCGTGTATAATGCCCATGTGCATGTGGACCGTGAGGAGTAGCAAACAAAATCTTTTTGCTCATGTTGCAATTGGCATTTCAGGTCTCTCTCCAAGCTGTAACGCCTCTCTGGAGAAGCATCTCTTGGGTTGCAAAACAGGGTCTCTAGTACGCATGGTGGTAACGCCCATGCTTGGATTTCAGTCCGTGCGGGTATTTTTAGCGAATGCTACGGTATCTCCTCTGCTGGGTGGTGGTCTCTGTAATGCCAGTGTGGGCTGAACGTGGCTGGCCTTTTGCAAATAGTGCTGTCTGAAAGCAGCCATGTTAAAAAGACAGAGGAAGTGCAGAATTTGGGCATGGGCAAAGAATCTATGTCCAGATGCTGTTTGGGAAATGTGTACAATAGTCTGAATTTTAGACAGTTTAGTGGAAAATGCAGAATGGTGTTGATGCTCTTGCTCTTGCAGATATGTAATTCATCTGTGGGATCTCAACCACGAAGGAACATGGGAGGGCAAAGGCACTTACGTTTACTACACGGACTTTGTCATGGAGCTAGCCTTGCTTTCGCTTGACCTGATGCATCATATTCATATGCTGGTATGAAATACTGGGGATAATGTTGAGCAGAGAGATGTGTCTCCATCCGTGGGGCACTGGGCACACGTGTTTTATGCTTTTCTGATTCGAATATTACAGAGAAGCTCTTTCATTTTAAGGGGGAAACTGTAGTAGACTTATAGGCATTCTTTCTTCTTTCTGTAACTGGACATCTTGGAAACAGCTTTTTTATGTTATATTAATTACTATATAACTATCTGTTTAATAGATGACTGATTAGCTTTTTCTCTTAGTAATATCAAATTGATTAATCAGGAGTGATATCTGTGAAAAGTGTTATCTGAGAATGTAAAGACTAGCAATTCTTGTGAATGTGCGTGATTAAGCTGAATAGATCATAACAGAGGAAAAATTATTCTGTGCTGGTTTTGTAAAACTTTTTTCATAAGGCTTGATGCAATTTTTGAGACAGAAATACTGCAAATAAATCTTGCTTCTTTTCCTTGTTGTTTTTAGTGATGATGGTAAATTTATTGCAAAACTCAGTGCTCTTCAGACTGTGTTATTTTATTGGTTAGTCTGGCATAAGTGTATTTTATATGTGTGCCTGCCTTTTGATTCCCATTTTTTTTTCTTTTTTAAAATCACTATTCTGTTTTGTTTTGTTTTCTTCTTTTTTCTTCTTTCAAGTTATTTGGCAATATCTGGTTGTCAATGGCCAGCCTGGTGATTTTCATGCAGCTGCGTTACCTGTTCCATGAAGTTCAGCGGAGAATTCGTCGGCACAAGAACTACCTGCGTGTGGTCGGAAACATGGAAGCCATGTGAGCCTCTGGTTTGCTTTGGGGATTTGCTTTGGGTCTTGGTGGGAGGATCCCCCTCAAGAAGCTGGGGCTGGCTTTGTTCATAGATGATGTCAGGTGATAGCTGGAGAGGTACAGCTTGCAAATCTCTTTATGCCTAAGGTGTATTTTACAAGTTCTTTGCTTCCATGTTGTTTTTTTCAGGGGACATACTGGAGGGATTAACAGATGTGTAAGACTGATTTTGGTCATATCAGCATTAGTGATAACAAGTGAAATCCCCTACCCAGCATTTCTTCTTTCATATTCTGTTGTCTGAAGGCAATAGGGGTGACTTAAGCTCTGCAGGGCTCTCCCTGTCTTGGTTGTGAAGCATAAACTTAGTCTCCAACGGAAATATTTGCTGGCGTAACTAGAATTAAATAATGAAACATATCATATTAACTAGTACAAACCTAGTACCAGGCTGTAAGTGCTCTTAACTGCCTAATCATACTGTTCCGTTACTGCCTGAAACGGAATCAAAATCTTAATTTGAGGAAAAAATGTATTCAACACTAAGTATGAAAGACTGTAGCCTTCCTCCTTCATGCTAGTAGCTTATTACAAAACCTGACCTCTCTGGAGGTGGCTAAGCTTTTCTTTGTGAAAGGAAAAGCTAGCAAACCTGCTGGCACATCTCACTCAAGGTGGGGGATAAGTTTTTAGTGCAGGAGTCTGTGGACTAAAGGCAGTGCTGGCCTGGCGTTATCGCTTTCATGACTTCTTTCCCTCCTCTTTTTCTTTGTAGGTTTGCAGTTGCAACACCAGAAGAGCTGGCAGTCAATAACGACGACTGTGCCATTTGCTGGGACTCCATGCAGTCTGCACGAAAACTCCCCTGCGGCCACCTCTTCCACAAGTACGTTTCTGGGGATGGAGACAGTGGAGAAATAAGGATTATCTGAGCATGGCCTGAAAGTGGTAGCATTATGGCAAGTAATCACCTGTTAGCAAAGCTATGGGTGCTTTCTCGTTGTGTCATCTGGGTCTGATTCTAATTATGTAGTAAGAACCATGTTCTTTTCAGCCATTTTCGCCTTTGAGTTGGATTCACTTGGTGCATCTTTTCCCTCAAGGTAAATGTATGCATCTTGTCAGCTGGTGGCTAGATTATAGAATCACAGAATTGTTATGGTTGGAAAAGACCTTCAAGATCACTGAGTCCAACCGTAAACTCTTCAACACCATCCTGCTAAACCATGTCCCTAAGTGCCTCACCTACACGGTTCTCCAACACTGCCAGGGATGGGGACTCCATCACTTCCCTGGGCAGCCTGTTCCAATGCTTCACCTCTCTTTCCTTGCAGAAATTCTTCCTAATGTCTAACCTGAACCTCCCCTGGTGCAACTTGAGGCCGTTTCCTCTTGTTCTATCTGTAGTTACTCTGGAGAATCAATACGGTTTTGCGTAGTGCATCCTTAAGTGGTGCTGAGTGCTCCAGCACAGTTGTGCCGTCCAGGACTGTTAATGTGTTTTCATATGGGAGTAGGAGTTCATCAGGACGATAAAACACGTTGAACAAATAGAGCTCCCAGCCTGAAGAGGTCCCTAAACTGCTGTTAGTGGGGAGGCTCTTGGCCAGAGGATCACACTACCTGTGTGTTTCTTGGGCTTGCAGTATTGTGAACAGTAGCAGGTGCTGTGCAAACAGTATGCTGAGCTAGAGGCACCTTTTCTTGGCCTTTTGCAGCGATTTGTTTTCATGCTTGTGTGTAAAACCAAATGGGAATGGGTCTTGAGTGAGGAATTTCTGAAGTGCCATTTGATTTGACATTTCTGAATGTGCCTGATCAGTTAAATTGTCCCTGTGCTGTAGTATGAGCACATTCCTTTTTGCAGATAGCTCTTTCCTTGTTTGGTGGCAAATGGGAGGTTTTAATGTATGTGCTAATCTGTTGTCATTTCTGACAAACCTTGTTGTACATATTTATGTGTTCCAAGACGCCTCTAGTGAAATAATTTGTTTAAGTTGCGGAAACTCTTCTTCCAAAGCCACTGAATCAACTGAATGCTTAATCACCTACTGTGCTTTTGAGAAGAAGCCCAGGATCTCCCCTTCAAAACATGTTTTTTTCTGTATCTAAAATGGCTCTTTTGTGTGTTCTCTGAAACTGTGTTACCTGTTTATTGCATTTGGGGAGAACCATGTTACATTGGATAACTTTAACTTGCAGATATATACATACTCCTCCTAACCACCCCCCCCCCAAAAAAAAAATAATAACTGTATATACAACCTAAGGATGATTTTTGTCCTCATCAAGGCATGGTGATTTACTATCAGACTAAACATGAAGCTCTTGTTCCCATTCTCAGTTACCTGGGAGAATTACCTGGATTACCTGGGAGTTAATCCATAGCTAGTTATGTGGAGAAATGGAGAAGATAGCAGGGTAGATTCACATAGCTGGGATCAGTTTTGTGGGCAAATATTAATTAATTTTGATGGGAATGGACATCCAAATCTGCTGGGCTCCTTTAAGAATCTCTTCTGTATCTTTGAGGATCCAGACAGTAACTTTAAGAAGAGCTGTTGCTCTGCAATGTTGTCTGACTTTGCTGTGCTGGCTTATTTTGCTGTTGTAACAGCTGTACAGCGCTAGTGGTGCTGACATGCCAGCTGTGTGCAGTATGTTGAGATCCGAAGTGGTGGAAAACAGTAGGTTTTTATTGTAGTGCTTCTGGCATTTCTGGGATGCCCATCCCAGTGCCAGCATTCTGGATACTCTATATCTGTGCATTTAGGTTTGGTGGAAATCGCGTTTGTGGTAAGGTCACTGCACTAGAGCGTTAGGGAGAATGCATAATGTGTCCTTGATTTTGTTAAAGTCTTGCAATTTGGGCTTTCTACTTACTCTTTCAGCCAGTCTAAACCTGTAATCTGTATTTTCACTCCATTTGCCAATATACAATTTGTGCAACAGGTTTATTTTAGCTTTTTGTTTGTTTGGTTGTTTTTTCTCCCTATCCTTTAAACTGATTTTAGAGCCTCTCCCAGAAGAAGTGGGTGCATTTCACCCTGCAAGCGTGACGTGTGTGTTGTGATACCAAATGTGAACTGAATTTCACAGAACTGAACACAAGTGCCAAGTGCTTGGAAGTGCCTTCCAAGTTTCCTTTGCAAGATGCAAATACTATACTTGGGAAGTATCAGTCCAAATCACAAAGTAGGCACAGCTCCAAGTATTTAAAGCTGCATTTCAAGCTCTTTACACTTTCTGCAAGGTAGTGAACGTTTAGTATTCAGTAAACCTCATAATGGCACAGCACGAAGTTGTATTAATAAATCTATTTGGAGAGTTCCAAGAGTGGCACTCTCTTTAGTGCTGATAGGGATAGTAATATTTTTGAAGAGGTATTTGAACAGCTTTGGAGGAAGTATTACATATTAATCTGGCAGAACTGCTGTGGAAGTTATTAGTTCATCATAAGCATTTGTTCCATTGTTTTTTTGTCCATTTTCAATAACAAATGGTGAGAAAAAGGAATCTCTTTGTTTCCCATTCCAAACAGAATTTACTTCCTCTAAGCTGGAGAGATAATGAAAACGTGCAGAGCTTTTTAAGTTTGGGGTAAATCTCCAGGTTAGCTAATAAAAAGTAAGGCGAGTAATGAGAGGCCTAAGAGTTTTTAACTTAGATGAACACAGGCCAGAGTAAGCAGAGTCTCATCAGATATACCACACAAGTTCTCTCTAACAATCTATATACCGTTGTTAATGTTTTGTGGAGAATATACTAATTGATGTACTTGCAGGCCTGCTGTTTTAGACAAAAGCTATAAGCTCATGATAATATTCTGCTTTTTATCAGCTCGTGCCTGCGGTCCTGGCTCGAACAGGACACATCTTGCCCCACCTGCAGAATGTCTCTCAATATCAGTGACAACCATCACGTGAGGGAGGATCACCAGCGGGAGAACCTAGAGGAGAACCTGGTGCCTGTGGCAGTAGCAGAGGGCAGACCACGCTTGAACCAGCACAATCACTTCTTCCACTTTGACGGTGAGTAAAGTAAGTTTGATACCTGATGCTGCTACTTAAATAAACAAAAGGAACAGGCTTCCATAGAAGTGAATTCTGTACGTGTTACAGTTGAAACAAACTGTGCTTCTGCTGGAGTTTGTCAAATACCCTTCGTAGAGTTTCTTCGCAAGGCTTCAGGTGTGTGCTTGTAAGACTGTCCAGAGCTACAGGGAATTCTTTAAAGACTTTGTATGTTAAGTAAGTGCTCCCTTTTTCTTGATTTGTTGTGGTTCACTGTTTTAACACTAGCATTTATTCTTGCATGCCATGTTGACCAACAGAATGCAGTGTTAATATGTTTTATTTTGCTTCCAAATGGCTGGTTAATGAATGACTGTTGAGGAAGGAAACTGTGAGGTATCACTTAAAAGGTGATCTTTCCACAACCCCTAGGTTATGTGAGGTTTTCACAGGTCTCTGTATTTCGGTTTGCAAGAACCTTGCAATGCTTGGTCAGGTGCAGAACTTTGCAGAAACTTCTTACGTACCATGTAACTGGAACGCTCTTAGATACTGGTTCTGCTAAGCTCAGTGGTGCATCATCAGACGTATTCGCCAAGTACCTGTTTTTAGGTCATGATGATTTCTATGTGTGCAGATAAACAATTCTGAAATAAGTGAAAATTTCTATTATAGCTCTTCCGTTTTTTGATGGTTTTGACTTCGGTGCATGCTTGTTTCCCGCAGTGTTTGATGGCAATTCTGTTGCTTCTCAGTAGATTTTGCTAATGTTAACACTCATCCTTGGGTACTGACTTGTTGCAGCTCCCACTGTGTGCAGCTGAGGTGCTTCAGACTTGCATAGTTAACCATTACTGGTCATCTCTGTTTTGTAATCTTTGGAAATCGTGGAGGGAGAATAATAAACAGAGGAGGAGCAGATGTTTCTGGGTACAGAGGCCTGCTGATAGCCTCCTCCCTGGCTCCTGTTTCTGAGGTGTTTTAGGCCTCCAAAGGACACTTACATTTAGCTTTTTGAGAGCTGTCCTCCCCATTGCTCTCCTGTGGCTTCGAGACCCACAAAATTAGGGTGGAGATGAGGGGAAACTGCTTGGAGCAAACCATCCACTTACTTTATTAAACAGAAATGAGGAAGGAGATGGGAGTGAGGAGTTAGCCATGTCCCCCAATCGGCCAAGCCTGAGCACATCATTGTTACAGACGCTTTATTCAGTTATTTTATGTCTCTGCATAGTGATGCTTTCTGTGATGCCAGTCACATTCATCTGACCCAGTTTAGGACCAGATTTAGCTGATTAGAAACAGGCATGTTTTTTAAAAAAATTGCTGGAGTTATTTATGTATTTCAGAATTTACTTTGGCCATGGATTATTTTAGTTTTCCATCTCAATTAGAACATTAAAACAAGAAAAATAAAAAGGGCATCCTTGTGTTCTTAATCCTCCTCTTGCTGTAAAAACGAGACACTGGAAGAAAAGGTGTTCTGTGTGGGAAAGTTGGCAGTTCCCAATTTACTCTAGCCATCTCTATTTTTGGAAAACCTAGTGATGGTTTGCACTGCAGAACTCCCCTGATGTACTTTGTGGAAGGGCTTTTGTTAAAGATGCACAGGAGTACTTAGCCTCCTGAGAACCTCTTATATTCCAGCTTGACTCTCATTGTGATTTCTTTTTCTCAGGCTCTCGAATTGCCAGCTGGCTGCCCAGTTTTTCCGTGGAAGTGATGCATACTACAAACATCCTCGGTATTGCACAAGCCAGCAACTCCCAGCTTAATGCTATGGTAAGTAAAGCTACCTTAACAGCTTGCGCTTGACCCTTCTTGTTTGTGCTGTGAGGGAAAGGGGTGCAGGTAGGAAGAGAACAGAAGTCAAAATGAAGTTAAAACAGTATTTAGATGTTGCATGAAAGCAGTCTCTTCAGTGAGAGCAGCTTTATTTCAATGAAGTTATGGCTACATTTTGGTTCAGATGTACAAACATAGAAGGACAGGTCTGGAGATGGATAAATGGGGGAGAAAAGCTATGTACTTTCTGTGTGATGTAGCTGATGCAGATAGACAGTCCTTTTGTCAACCTGCTTGATACAATTTCTGTCTTTCTTGTCTTTGTCTGTACTTGTTTCCACATACAGTTTGTAGTAGTAAAGGGTCTGAGTCTGTAACCAGCAAATTTAGTCATTTGTCCATGGGTCGCTGATCAAACCCACTTTATAGTTTTGAGATGTTACAGTATATACTTTTAATAGTACCAAGTTTCAAGATAGCTGGTGTGAGTGCCTTATAAGTACACAGTGGGGCTCTCTGGAGTGCAGTTAACCCTCGTTGTTACATGATGGTCTCAGCAATGTTGAGGATGAGGTGCTGTGTTTCACGTCTTCACGAGTAAACACTCAAGTGTAGTCCAAAAAGGTGAGGATAGGACATCATGAGACTTAATCTGTTGAAGTTGAGATGTGCCATTTCTTTTGAATTCTTAAAGCTATTTCCTACAGGAAGGAAATGAAATCTAGTTGTGAGACCTTTCCATAGCCTTCTCCACTGTTCAACAGGGTATTTGAAGGCTTGTGGGTGCTGGGGAGATTAGGAAGTGACATGATAGGTTAAACAGGTCAACTGTTAGTTTTCCTTTATTCTGGACATAGTAACATTATTATTATTTTTTAAGATTGAGTAATAATCTATCAGCATCATGCATAATTATAAGTACAGCATCTACTTATATTAAAATGCCTATTTATTGGAAAGGCCCATGTTAGCAAACTACTGAAATGTTAATGCATTTTTAAAGGTATCTAAGTGAAATTCCCCTTTGTGTAACAGAATAAAACCCCAGGGAAGTATATAAAGGGAAAGACTGAAGGCTGAAATGCTGAATCCCTTGTTTTGGTCACAAGTTAGTACAATGGGGAGTTAGGGTTGCTTGTGTCTGAACACACTCCCAGCTAGTGTGTAACTTTTGCTTTGCTATTCAAACACCTTCACCCTTTTTTTCTTTGGGTGGTGTTCTCATTTTGTTTTTTTCCTTGAAACTTTCAATTTTATAAAAAATGCAGATTTTAGTGTTCAATAAAACCCAAGTGTTGAACTTCAAGTATACTATCTTGTCCACCTTCCTACTTCTCTCTATTCCCCAGGGGTATGTGTTAAGGAACTTCAAAATCAGTAATCACAGTTTCCTGATAAATCAGGCTTAATTTGTTTGAGCTTTCAGAGGGTATTGAAATAAGTTTATAGGCAGAGTGCCTGGAGAGTGTAGGTTATTAAAACTTACGGCAGTTTTCATACCAGTACCGCTTTGAATTTTGGGACCAAGAAAAGTGATTCTGAAACATCGAGCTAATTTTCAGTCCCTAATATCAATTTTATCTAAGTCTTCATATTTTTTATAGAAAAATGTTTCTGTTGTAGAAAGAGGGTTCAGGAGTTCTTCTGATGCCTTTGAACACCTATAGCACTGTTCAGGAACCTGTATTTTCAGGATCATGTGGCATCTCTGTAGAAGTCACAGTTGAGCTGTTGATTTCAGTGGAGTCATGTTGCCCTATAATTTGGTGCCAGCATTTTTTTTTTCATTATTTTTTTCTTTTGTTTGTGGGTTATATCCTAAACAGCATTGCTAAGCTATTCATTTCCCCCCTCTTTCTATTAAGAGTAGTTACAGCTAACATTTATTGCTAGTCTAACTGTACAAACCTTGCTTTCTCCAGGCCCATCAGATTCAAGAGATGTTCCCTCAGGTTCCTTATCATTTAGTCCTACAGGACCTGCAGCTAACCCGTTCTGTAGAGATAACCACTGACAACATCCTTGAGGGGCGCATCCAGGTGCCTTTCCCCACACAGGTAAGTCATGAGCTCCCGCCTTTCCTTCTTACCACAGACAGAGGTTGTTGGGAATGAGTGAGGGGAACGAGGTAAGGAGATTGACTTTCCCAGCTTGATTCCCTGGGAAATCAAGCTTAGCTTGTTGCAGTATTATTTTTCAGGCTTTATGTGTTGGAAAATTTACAACAGGAAGGGCCAGACAAGTTTTGGCTGTCTAGCAAATGTTGTCTGTCACTTCATATTGCAGCATCTGACCTAATCAGTGTGTCTCTATGTTGCGTATGATTGGGATGTATGAATCTTGCTGTGGGCCCTCAAAGACTTTTAAAGGGTTAGGTTGGGGCTCTGATAGGTGTGCACTGGTGTAATCTATTTGTAATACAGGTGGTTTTCTTCATGAAAGATAGTCACAGGCTATCACCCATGGGCTATAGCCTGTGCACTAATTGATGTGGTTTTACCACAGGATGCAAAAAGTGCTTTGCCTGTATGGTCTCAGTCATGTTATAGAATGTATAATCAGAGGAAAAATCTTGGGATTTGTTTTCTCTCTTTGTTTAAAGCTCAGTGAATACAATGTAGTCAGTCATGTACCAAAAATATATTGAAAATGGCCTATCTAGACTACAGACAAATATTTGCTTAGTTAGGGCAGCTCTTCTCAGTTGCACTGGTACAGAGCCTTTAGAGTATTTCCAGCTGCTTTCTCTGGTGACGAGTAATTGAATTGTACCATTTAAGAAGTTTTTCTGCAAAGAAAGTAGTCAGCAAAATAATATCTTGTTCTTAATTAGTGACAGCAGATTTCATTAAAGCAGTCTGGAAACAGTGTTCCTGTTAATAAGAACACTGACTTCTGGTTCTGCAGCCATCAGATAGAGTTGTTATCGGGAGTGAGGTTTCACTCCCGTGAGGTTGTCTGTGTGTATGGGGAAGCAGGCAGAATTCTCTCTCAATGGAATGCATTCCATTTACTACTAACTTCTCTGTTTCTAAATTGAACATAACACATGATGCTGCAGAAGGTGGAGTTTGAATATGTTCAGAGAACTTTTTGTCATTCCATGTGCCATTTTAAATCTATGATGTTTGCATTTCAGCGTCCAGATAATGTTAGACCTGCACTGAACAGTTCTGTGGAACGGCATAGTGCTGATCAGGAGGATACAGAAACTGTCACTCAGGTAACTTGGCATTAAAACAAAAGCAAAAGTACAGCTAGAAATCACACAGCATAAGTGCCCTGGGTTTAGTACCAGGTCAAGTTTGTTGCGTCTGTTCCTTGCATCTCCCACAAAAACTAGTGCCCTCAGACAGCCTCCATCAAGACTTCCATGTGGTGCTCCCCCAAAAAATTACCCATATGCTTTGGTTTTCCACCTTGAAAGAAAGTGCTCTTAAGTGATGCAAAGTTGACCAAAGGATCATGTCTCTGTTCATAGCTGCCTGTACTGTCCTTGTGGGTGGAATATGAAGTGCCAGGACAGTCAATAGCTTCCTCTTCCCCTTCCTCTTCCTGCTCATGTTCTGGAAATCTCCAGAAGCTTCCAGTAACTGAATAGTATTTCTCTTCTGGTATAAGAATTCTTTTGTGCTCTGGAGGAAGCACTTGGAGACATGGGGAGCTCTGGTAAGAATAGACTGGGATACAAATAGTGCTAAGACATAATAGTCCCTTCACATATAATGCGAGAATGTCTTTTCCCCCTTACTGTTTAAAGGCCTTGTTAATCAGCTTGAGTGAGCTAAAATGAGGCAGGAAGAAAAAAAGTAACTTTTTTTTTCCTTCACTGTTGTAGCAAAATTGCATGAGTGGATTTTTTTTAAAATCTACCCTCTTTATCTCAGTTCAGAAAGGGAGCAAATTTGTTAGATAGGTGACTTTGACTTTGTTGAAGCCTTTGATAACCTAAAAGTAACCAACATGTCATTCACTTGCATCCACACTGTGTCACTTACCCCATCAGCATGTTCCAAGATTGGAGAAAAAGGGAAAAGGTTCATCTTATTTGCTACTGCTGTTGAGGGTGAAGAAAGGTAAGGGGGATTAGTGCAGGAATGAGGTACAAGCCTGGGGTAGGAGATGCAGAATTGTAGGAATGAAGCTTTTGGTCTAGATCTGACAATGCTTTAGTAACTTTGAGGCTTAGCTTGAAGATTCTGCTGGCCTTTTCCCTAATCTTTGTGAGGAAAATGTCTGTTTCTACAAGCTGCTTATTATAGCTTTGCTTTAGCTTGGAACTGGCTTCAGAACTGGTTTTAAAGAACTGGTTTTGATGTTTGCATTGCTGTTCAGCTTGCTTCCTTTCTGCCCCAGATGCCCAGCTCTTCCCGTGTCCCTGTCCTGCTGCAGTTAGCGTGGCAGTTTGCGCAGGCAGGAGGTGCGGGCAGGGTGCAGGGAGTCTCCTCGAGGGAGGTGATCCTGCCCCCTACTCATCCCTGGTGAGGCCACATGTGGAGAACTGTGTCCAGTTCTGGGCTCCACAGGACAAGAGGGATGGGGAGCTGCTGGAGAGAGTCCAGTGCAGGGCTACAAGGATGATCATGGGCCTGGAACATCTGCCCTATGAGGAGAGGCTGAGGGAGCTGGGCCTGTTCAGCCTGGAGAAGAGAAGGCTGAGGTGGGACCTTATCAGTATCTATAGAAACGGCCACAGACTGAAGCATCAAAAATTCCACAGGAACTGAAGGAAAAATTTCTTAACAGTGAGGGTGCCAGAGCACTGCAACAGACTGCCCAGCGAGGTTATGGAGTCTCCTTCTCTGGAGATCTTCCAAACCCGCTTGGACGCAGTCCTGTGCCACGTGCTCTAGGTGACCCTGCGTGTGTAGGGGGATGGACTAGATGATCTCTAGAGGTCCCTTGCAACCTTAACAATTGTATGATTCTACAGAACCTGAAATACTTGGGAGTGATGGACATTCATAATGCCTTTAATAGATGCCCCCTGACAAGGCACCTTGCTTGCATTGCAGGAAAGACCTTTGCTCAAATTGGCCGTGTTTTAGAGCAAATGGGTGTTTGGAAGGAGAATGTATTTTTTGTTCCATAGAAATCTCAGCAATAGCCTAGAGAACCTTTCGTGACTGTGAAAAACTTCGAATTTCATGCAAAATCCGAAGCAACTGGGTGATGCTCCAGGTGGCTGACTGCACATTTGGAATAAGCTGCTGGACTCTGTTCAGGTGTCACTGGATGGGTGACCACTGTGAAAGCTGGACTTTGCAGGCCATGGCCTAAGTAGGAGACTGGCATTGCCACTTACCAGGAGAAACTTGCTGCTGGGTGGTGTAATGGAAGCTCCAGTTGCTGCTATCCCTCTTCTGCCTAATACATAAAGAAATGTTACAGATTGCTGCCCTATATTGGACAGCCAAACCAATCTCTTTTCTTCAGTTGTTTGCATTTAAGTTGATGGTTGTAATATTCTTCTTGCTGAGAGAGGAGTTGGGAGCATAGAAGCATCCCCCAGGGAACCCCAGTCACTCTTGTGTCTCTTCAGATTTGATTTCAGTTCTTAACTGAGAACACAGCATATTGCAGATGATGTCTTTTTTTTTTATTTTTGTCTTGCCAAAAGTATGTATTGTTGTAGTCTGCTGAATTATGTCTCTCTGGAAGGATCTAGCAGTCAACAGTCTACTTCAGATTGCGCTTCATTTTTAAGATTTTTTTGGTATGCAAAAGAAGAAGGATGTAAGAAGCCATTGTATCTTGTGGGCTGAGACTTGCATTTCCAAGTAGTGGATATATGTAACTTCACACTTCATACAGCTGGGGGAGACTGTAGCAGCCAGGCAGTGGGTTCTCTCTGATTGCTTTCTGTTGCAGCCTTAGAATATGTTTTACAAGCTTTCAAGCTTTCTTTTTTTTTTTTCCCCTTCTTCCTTTTAAATCAGTATGTGCATTGAGAATTGTAACCTGTCTCCAATAGTAAGTGGCAAACCTGCCAGGGTTCTGCTCTTGGGAAAAAACACTGCTAGTGAGAGCTTGTCCTTGCTCCCGTCCTTGCTCCCGTCCTTGCGGGTAACATCCTCTGCTTCCTGTGCTAGCTGATGATTGAAGGCTTTTGAACCCTCTGTAGAATTAAGACAAAGGTAGTGACTTTTTTTCTCCTTAAATGTAATTTTGGGGTATCTATGCAGACATAACTTAAAGGTAGTACTGAGCTCGAACATAGTGTAAATTGAGTGAGTTGCAGGCTTGCTATATAGTGCTACAAAAGCACTGACTGTCTCTAACAATATTCACCTTAGTATTTAGCAAGAGCCCATAAACGGCCATTTTCTTGTTGTATAACGAAATGCTGATGCTGCCAGCAGTGTGCATAATGGTCTATATGCTCTCTTTTCATCCCCACTATGTTATATTTGCTCTCCTATGTTGGTTTGTTTGTTTGCTTATTTGCTTTGACTGTTATTAGTTCCAGCAAGAACAGATGTCTGAGCAGCTATAGCTATTTCCTGAAAGCTTGTGTTTTCATGCCCTAAAATTTATTTTAGAATTATCCTTTAAAAAACGATTCTTTTTCTCTCTGTTTCTGGAACCCATAGTGGATGATGGGTGGGACTCTTCAGACCTGGCTTGAAAGTTGTCATAAAGCTGAAGCTTTCCTGGTGCAGCTGTTGCCCCTCCTTGACAAGCCAGTTTATTGCCACTGCTGAAATACTTTGTGACGCTATTTAGACTCACTTCCAAGACATTTGTGGTTTCCATCTTCCTGACTCCTTTTTTGCTGGAGCCTATAAGAGGAGCAGATTCTGAAGGGTTCAGATTTCTACATCAGAGAACTGGCCTGATATTTAGGGATTTTTGTAACTCTCGTTACTCTGTGTTTTGCTATTTGCTATTTCTCTTTTGAAAACCTCCCGAGTAATTGCTTCTGTGCTTAGATAGAAGAATGGTTCATTCATATCTGAACTTAACCGTAAGGAGTACCCTTCTTGCTGCTCTATCCCAGCAAAACTTCCCTTCGCCTTATCCACCTATTTTGGTAATCGGAAGCAGTAGTCAAGAGTATTCCATACGTGTTCCTCTGTATCTGCTGAGGTGTTTGAAGCCTGACCGGGGCTTTCTGGCCGTGGCTGAAGTGGGTGAGATCACTCTGTGGAGTTCTCGCTTCCTCGTCTCGGACAAGGCATTGCTCTGAGGCAGCAGTAGCCCCTCGTGTCCCCCAAGGACACTAGTGTTTGTGGTGGAGGAACCCTCCTGTGTGCAGGGCACTTGCTGAAATACGCTGAGAAAATACTTCTTGTGCCTGAGATTGCAGTCTGGGTCCTATTCTGATTTAGGTCCTCGCACCTCCTCTTTGGTTCACCCAGCTGATAGGAAGTGACATTTGGCTTGCCATTTGCTCTCTAAGGGCATTGCATCAGTGAGATGGAGTTACTGGTCCATCTCTGACGCTTAGAGATGGCTCAAACTGCTTTGCACGTCAGCTGTTGAAACCTCTGCATTGTACACTGTAACACTGCTGAGCCCAGGCTGCTGGGGCTTAGTGTCCACTGCCCTGGCCATTGAGCCTTGCTCAAAACTAGACTGCTGGGATTGACTAGGGTAATACCTGTCTTATGCAACCTACTTGTTTGAGCAACCTTCTGGAATACCAAGTACTCTCAAGCTTTTGGTTGAGCTGATTTATTTTGTGAAGTTACTGTGCTTAGCAGCATCTTGTTTTTCCCCTGCGGAGCTGACCTGATAGCATGTGACAGATTGTGATGAGGATACCTGATGTCACCTGTGCCCAGTTGCCAGTATCATCATTCATCAGCTCAGTTTCACAGGAGTGCTGTGGGCTGCTGTCCAGGGTGAGGAGGTGCTATGAGCAGGGCTGCCAGCTTCCCTGTTGACACACACTCCTTGGGACAGTCAAATATATGAAAATTCAGGTGCTGCAGAATCTGCTTATCAGAAATCTCTGTCTCAAGTGCCCTATCCTCTTTGCAAATAAGTGGATATTTTTGGTACTCTTTCCTCAGTCTATGGATTTCTTGGATTTTTCTGAACTCTGCTTGTGCATTGCTTATCAAGCCAGCTCCAGAATCTGAGTCTATCAAGTATCCCACTTGGAGAGAGCATTAATTATGAGTAATTACTTTTTATGTCTCTGAGATGACTTTCAGCTGTGGCATAAAACATACAGCCTTATAAAATGCTGACTGTTTGAATATGTTTTGAATTATCTGTGTTTGCTTTGGCTGTTTTTTTTTTTTTTCCTTAAAGGAGAACAAAGAGAATTAGGTGAGAATCTGTTTTGGTCCAGTGTATCTGAAAACCACAATTATTTATAGCTTGATATATTGGTTGCAGAGAAGCTCTATTTGTGAACTTTTCATAGACTTATGATTTATTTTTTTTCTTCCCCTTCATTCTCCCGCCTGCCCTTCTCTTAGACTGAGAGAGTGCCACTCGAACTCAACTCCAGACTGGAGGAAATGGCGGAATTCACAGAAATGGAAGCAGAACCCAGTGAAGCAGAAGATTTTGAGGCCAGGGGAAGCCGCTTTTCAAAGTCAGCTGATGAGAGGCAGCGTATGTTGGTTCAGCGTAAGGAAGACTTGTTGCAGCAAGCCCGAAAGTATGTTCCTCCCTGAAACTACAGCCAAGTCGCTCCATTATAGCTCCCAGAATGAATTTCAAATGGATTATGACCAATGAGAGGCTGGTTAGATGAAAAATACAATGGGAGCCTGCTACAGCAGGCTGAGAATGCTTTTCGAAACAACCGTTGCAGATGCGCCCAATTCTGAAATAGCATCATAGATCCTAACACAGACAGAACTTCCTAACCAGCTCATTCAAAGTTCCTTGAAATACTGGGATGATTTCTCCAGCTTCAGTAACTTTTTTCCCACTTTTTTTTTTTTAACATGACTTACAGTCATTTTGGTGGTTTGCTAACATCCAATGTTGATAAACAATAAGAGAAGGAAAAATATTTAATGGCATAGAGAAAACTTTTATTTAGTGTTTATCTTGAACAACTCATTTTTATACCCTTGTATCTCAAGGAAAGAGTCTCTAAAGGCAAGAGTCTTGGGGAAAGCGTCTACAAAATGTTGGGTTGTGCATCCTTTGGTGTGAACAGACAGACTGCTCTTGTTCTTAGGTGTTTTTTTTGCACATCAAAGTGCTACCATGTGAATAATGGTGTTTATATAATATAGAGTTTGTCTATAACTAGGCTTGCTCCCAGAATCATTTTCCTTGATATTTGAAAAACGTCATTCAGGGAGGCAAAGTATTTTTATGTTCAGGTTTACTAGTTCTCTTGCTAAGGTTTTTTTTTTTTTTTTTTTTTTTTTTTTTTTTTTTTTTTTTTTTTTTTTTTTTTTTAAGAACTGTGAGATTCTTACACCATGGTATTTTGTAATATATTGGGATGTGAAATCTGGAAGCTGCTTCCATGTATTTTTGTGTTATCTTACACTCTGCAGCCTTAGCACCTTTTCTTTTGAAGACTTGCTTGTTCACACTGGTGAATGAATTCTTATGCTAGACACTGCCTCATCTTAAATGATGGAATTTTGGAGACTGAGAGATTAAGTAGCTCACCTGAAGTCTTGGTGAGTCACTGAGCAAAGAGTAGAACTCAGACCTTTAGGACTGGCTCCATCTGGTATGCACAAGAACCTTGCACAAAAATTTAGAGCTTCTGAGGTTATACAAGCCTTTTTTTAAAAAAAGTGTGTATGTATCAAAAGTATTTGCCTGCTTTCAGTAGACCTTTTATCTCCCATATTTCCTGGATGTCGCAGTTAGGTGTTTTCCAGAGCCAAAATGAGGCGGGTTTTACTTATCCATTTTTTCTTTTGTTCTCCTGCAGGCGCTATTTAAACAAAACCTCCGATGAGGAGTTGATCACAGAGAAGCCCTCTCCACCCGAGGGCGCTTCGGCCGATCCTGTCACCCTGCGTCGCAGAACATTAGCTGCTGCTGCTGAGCGGAGACTTCAGATGCAGCAAAATTCTTAGTGCTCACCACCCTTCCCTCTCCTCCACCTCATGAGCAATGTTGAATAAATAAATCAAATACAAAGAAACCTGCGCTTTCTGTACCAGCAGGAAAGTGTCTCATCAGAGTTCAGCTAGCTGTGCTGCTGAGCTGGCTGCCTCTCTGCTGTATAAAGCATGTGGTCTAATAATGTTTGGACAGCTGACAAATTAACCTTTTTTTGTAATATTTTCTATGTGACGTTGATCCCCTCCACAAACGAAGGCAGTTTCTAAACCACAGGCATGATTTCTGCAGCTAGCATGAGGTGTTAGACTGACTGCACAGCAGAGGCTGGGGGAAGAGTGTGTCCAAATTTGCAGCTGCATGTACAGATCACAGAGGGCACTGGCATGTTTAGCTTGAGATCAAGGAGAGTCATTCCAAAAAGGGAAGAAAGCTTAGAAATCTGCAGCAAAACTTGTATTAAATGAGCAGGCATCTGCTCTTAAGTTACTGTTCGTCTCAAGAGTGAATGAAGAGTGTTACATAGGCCAGCCTGAAGGGCCAGAGTAGTATTCCTGGAAAGCGAGCCTGGATGGAAGTGGTCTAGCTACACAAAGTAGGAGGAAAATAAGACCGTGAATTTTGCAGTGAAGCACTAATTCACATTGATTCCAGTATAAAATTGTTTACTGTTTCTGGGCTTTTCTGCACTTGCTGACTTCCAGCTCTGTGTGCTTCACCGGCCTGCACTATTTTCCTTTGCCTTTTATGGCCAGAAACAAGTTGGAGACAGCGAGGAGAAAAGTGAAGAAAAGTGGGCTCAAGGCAAGGTTGTTAGCCCCTGGAATTCAGTGTTACCTTGTTGCCAGTGGGAGCCAGTTGAAAGGCCTGCCTGCTCTGGCCTCTAGAGCAATAAAGATGGGACTTCAATTAGGAGGCTGGAGATAGCTCCGGTATCTCGCATTTTATTTCATTTTTAGCCCATTTCATTTTCAGCATCACCCTGAGTTTATTCAGAAAGGCTAAAAGAATTGGGGCAGCTGGACCTTAGGCTAGCTGCAGTCCAATCTGCTAACTTCTGATTTTTCTAAAGAGCTTTTGACATGGGATACACTTGGAACTGCCAATGCTAGTTTGCATAGTTGAGTTTTACATGGCAGTGACTTAATTTTTAAATTCAAGGAATGAGTTCTAGTATCACTGTCCTTTAGAAGGAACCCAGTATTATCTAGAATTATTCATAACTTTTTTTTTTACTGTTGTTTTTTAGGACATTTAAAGGTGAATTTAATGAAAGGAATTGTGTCAATGTTTAGGTGCAAATAATTTATTTCAAACTCTTTGGGAAGCCTTACTTTGCAATGCTATTAGTAAACAAAGAATTTTTTTGAGATCTTTGGTTTTGCTCAGAGCACAGCTGTTTGTTTTTATTGTTAAAAAATAAAAATAAAATCTTGGTCAGTGTTTGAAGTTGTTTTGGAATGTCTATAGTGTGGCTTCTCATGTTCTTAGCGTTTGGTTTGTAAATGTAGCACTTGCTGGATGCCACCCGCTGCTCCTTATTGTCACAGTGAAAGGGAGTGCTGCTACCTGATGTTAACTTCCCTGCACATGAGAGTAACTTTGCTGTAACCGGAAGAGAAAGAGTAAGATCTTCCTCTTGCGCTGATTTTTCATAGATGACTTCCATTGCAACAGTTACAGTCGGCAGACATTAACAACTTGTAAAAGAGTGCCCTGCCTTGGCAAATCTCCCTTCCCAAGAAGTCATTGCAGTTGCATAGATACTGTGCTAATCTTTCCACCGCTGAAATCGGCAAATCTTCTCAGGGCTATGGTGAGAACGTTGGGAGCACGATGTATGGTGAACGTCTTGGACGCAGCAACCATCTTTTCACACCTTCAAAGTGAGCACAGGCAATTGTGTCAAGGCACCTTTCCCCCTCTGCACACGGGCCAGAAAGTCAAACGACTTTCCATGTCTCACATGCTCGTGCTAGCGGAATGGCATTTCCTTGCCCAAGACGGTGCTTCTTTTCTTAAAGCCACACACTGCATTTCAGCTTTGCATGTGCAGAGAGCCTAGCAGGACATACGAGGGCAGCTCGATTCTGATTGGGAGCGCTCTTTTTTGGGAGCTAAACAAGTGCCTGAGCCCCTGCCTTTGCTGTGCCCAAAAGTAAGGCTTGCCCACAGCTCCCAAGGCAGCAGGAAGGCGGCTCTCTCACTAGAGTGCAGTCCCCGAACGCAACCCCAGGCTCATGTTTCCCGGTACGCAGAAATCCCTCTTTCCAGCTCCTGGCCTGGCTGCCCACTTTCTGGCAGAATGCCAACAGTGAAAGAGAGCTGGAAAAAGGGAATCTCAGTCCTCCAAACTGGGAATGGCAAAGAACATGCCAAACAGAGCACTCACCAGCATCGGAAGGTGCTACAGAGGGGAGGGGGCTTTTAACTCCCTGCCCTAGCAAGAGGTCAGTGCGCAGCTTCCCCGTTAGCAAGGGTGGACACCCACCACCTGGGAAGGCAACACTGGGAATAAAACTCTCCTGCGAGCTAGTGTCTGCACTTGTCATCAAAGATTTCCAACTACTTGAACGGAATGAGAACGGTGCCGCTCTGAGAACCAAATGTACTCCTTGACCAAGCTTTGGGTGGCTTCAGGTACTAGCTGCGCAACAGAAAGCTGTGTCTCGTTGTCTCCTTTGTCTTTCTGAATTACATCAAGGGGTAACAACTGCCCTAAGACAGGCAATAGTTTTGGCCAGGATCTCCTATTCAGGGGGCATTAGGAAGAATCCTACTTGCTGCATTTGTAGCAATTGTCACCGTCCAGCAGCTCAGGTCTCACAAATTGTTCCAGTGCACCAGGGACAGAGGAGGCTGCCTGCATGAGGAAGAAAGTAAGACAGTGCAGTGAACTCTGTCGAGTTTCAAAAGCCACAAAAAGAGAAAATAAACCTCAAAAGCTTGGGGCCTTCAACCACCTCGTTGGCCACAGCTCCCAAGTGTCTTACCTGTCTTCTGAAGGGATATCAAGGAAGCCCTCATAGGATTCTGAAATTTGGCAGCTCAAGCACGTTACTGGAATCCAAACAGCAGCATTTCAGAAAAGAGGGAGGACACTCGCTTTGCTGCTTTACACTATTGAGACCTGCTACCTCAGGCGCACTGCGTGCTCTTTGCAACCAACAGGCATGAAGGCACACTGGTTCTGAGGACAGGAGCAGTTATTAAAAGTATCTCAGAATCTTAGAAACCCTCCAAATATTTACAAATGACCATGGTGGCTTGCGACGAGGTGTCCAAGCTGGAGAGAAAAGTACTATCAGTGCTCCAAAGAGTTGAGGCAAAGTGCTAGCTCCTTGTTCTAAGAGCTTTTCTTTCTAGGAAAACCCTGGACAAGAGTTTTCACGTAGGGTAGGAAACAAGGATGTCCAAAGTGCTAGAGAACACTCAGAGGTTAACTTGGCTCTGCTCGCTCAGTGCTTGCATTCAAACAAGCCATCTGCATAGCAGCCGCAGTGTAGCGTAAGAATTCACGTGCATCTTCCTGTCTGCTATAACAGAAATGCTCCCTTATTCCTAATAAATGCAGAGGGTACAATGCTTTTCTTGAAAGAAGGGGCAGAAAACATAGTTTTCTAAAAGCTCTCTTTCCCAAGAAAAGAAAGCTCTCCAAATGGCGGCCTCCGTGCGCACAGAGACATGGGGGCCCTATCGGCCTTGGTGCGGCCACCGGGGTCTCCCTGTGAATGGGGATGAGGGAGCCCTACAGGCCACTGTGTGGTCCCCAGGGGCCTCTGTATGCAAAGGGTCAGGGGGGCCTCACGGGCCTCTGTGCGTGAGGGAAGAACAGGGCTATATGGGCCTCGGTGCGGCCCCAGGAGCCTTCATATGCACGAGGACGGGGTCCCCACATGCCTCCGTGGGGCCTCTTGGGGCCTCAGTATGTAAGGCAACTGAGGGGCCCTACAGGCCTCCATGCGGTCTTCCAGGGCTGCCATGTGCATGGCCACAGGCTGGCCTTACGGGCCTCTGTGCGGCACCCTGGGGCCTCCATGCGCACGGGTATGGGGGAGCCCTACAGGACAGGGAGCGAGAGGCAGCCCCAGGGCTGACCCCCGTGCGGGCAGCGTGGAGCCCTGCGCCAGAGGCATCTCTGACTCAGCAGGGGGCAGAGCCAGCGGGGAAGGTGGTTCAAGAGCCGCCCCCAGGGAGTGTGAGAGACTATGAGTGTGTTGTGGCAGTTAATGCAGGCAGGAGGTGCAGGGAGACTCCCTCTAGCTCAGGAAAAGAGCTCCATCCACAGTCTCTTCCATCACTGAGAAATCAGGCAAAGCCATGGTCTTTCCTCAGCAGAGAGCCTGCACCAGGAAGAATGTGGCGACAGACTGAACGGCCACAGAAACACATGGCAGGCCAGGTCTCTAGCTGTGGGGAGTGTCTGAGCCTCTCTGTGTTACCAGACGTGAGCAGGCGGATGACCTGCTTAGCCTGGTAGTGGAGCTGAAGGAGGAGGCAGAAAGGCTGAGGAGCATCAGGGAATTTGAGAAAGAAATAGCCTGGTGGAACCATGCTCTGCAGTTGTCCCAGGAAGGGCACCTAGAGAACCCTCCAAATCGATCTGAGCATCCCCTACTCTCTTGCCATAGGGCAGAAGGGGCAGAATTAACAGTATTGAGAAGAACAAGAATGGAAACAAGTCCCTGTTCAAGGTGGCAGGAGAACCCTGTCCAGGCCCAACTCACCCCCCCCACCCCACCAGGTGAACACGTTCAACAAGTATGTAGGCCCTGGAACTTGAGGGCCAGACAGATGAGGTCATGGACCAAGGCCCACCTAGGGGTTTGTCTAGAGTGAGGCAGTCAAGATCATGCCTTAAGACTGCCCCTGCTAAGGAGAAAAGAAGCATCGGTAGAAGTGTTGTGTGATTGTCATGGCACAGGCAAATCTGCAGCTCCGACCCGTTGTCCAGAGAGGTCTGTTGCCTGCCAGGGACTTGAATAAAGGATGTCATGGAAGACTGCCAAGGCTTGTCCGGACATCTGACTATTACCTCTTGCTTCTGTTTCATGTGGGCACTAATGACACCATTGGGAAAATGAGCAACATCAAATGAGATTTTAGAGCCCTAGGTATGGCAGCCAAAAATCTGTGAGCCCAGTTTGTGTTCTTCCCTGTCCTGCCAATGAGGGGAATGGATATGAGAAGGAAAAGGCGGATATTGCAGGTAAACAACTGGCTGCGCCGCTTGTCTTGGCAACAGGATTTTGGTTTCTATGACCATGGGACACTGTTTGAAGACCACCAGCTAGTGGGGAAAGATGAGAGCCACCTCAGCACCAGGGGCGCACGTGTCTTTGCCAACAGGTTCTGACTCTCTATGATTCAGAAGTCAGGTGCAGGGGCAGAAGGCCTGCGTGGATGAGCAACGAGCTGTTGGCAAAACTCAAACAGAAGAAGGTGGCAGCGTACAGAATGTGGAAAAAAAGGACAGGCTCCTTGGGAGGAACATAGGAATGCTGTCAGGGAATGCAGGGATGTGACAAGGAAGGCTAAGGCACATTCGGAATTAAATCTGGCAAAGGATGTTAAAGATAACAAGAAGAGCTTCTTCAAATATATCAATGGTAAAAGGAAGATTAGGCAAAACATGATTCCACTGGTGAATGGCGTGGGTGCCCTGGTTACGAAAGATACAGAAAAAGCAGAGCTATTGAATGCCTTCTTTGCTTCAGTGTTTACCAAGGGCAGCCCTCTGGAATCCC